TATTCGATGAAATAATGTTTGTATAATTAGCATGTAGTTGTCTATAAAGGAAAGTTATGTCTTTGATTTCCTCTTTCTAGGAAATCGTGCTGGAGAATTTAAATGTTCGTTGGGAAGACGTCATAGGCTTAGAAGATTGTAAAACTGCAATCAAGCAGGCAATCGTGTATCCTTTTAAGTATCCTGTTTACTTCGCAGGGCCATTCTCAGCCTGGAAAGGCATCCTGCTGCATGGGCCGCCTGGTACAGGTAAGATCTGCACATTTTTTCTTGTTTCCGCTTTTTATGTACGTTAATCGAAATTGAAATTTGAAACAGGAAAAACATTGTTGGCGAAGGCAGTCGCAACCGAATGCGACTGTACCTTCTTCAATATAACTGCCAGCTCGTTAGTCAGCAAATGGCGGGGAGATTCTGAGAAATATATACGCGTGAGTTTTATTCTCTACGTTCCCTATGTATATTTCCAATAATAAATTTTGAATTTTAAATCCCGACAAAAGGTTTTGTTCGATCTCGCATACAGTCAATCTCCTACCATTATATTTATTGACGAGATCGATTGGATAGCAACGAACACAAATTACTCGCTATCCGAACCAGCGAAAAGATTTAGATCCGAACTTCTTACTAGATTGGACGGCTTAGTGTCTACTGAAAATTCGCACGTCGTTCTTCTAGCAGCGACTAATGCTCCTTGGTAAGTACGATTATTACTTAAAGTTCTTTTTAAATAAGCGATTCCTGTTTGAATGTTAAGACAGTGATAATTAAATTCATGTATTTCTAATAATTACATCAAAATTTATAATCTTTATCAGGGACATTGACGCAGCCTTATTGAGACGTCTTGAAAAACGTATATACGTACCATTACCCAGTGAGTCTACTCGTCGGAAACTGTTTGACTTATATGTTAGCGAGGAAATCCGCGAAAATGATGAAATGGATGGCATAATTAAGTCCACAGAGTCGTATTCCTGCGCGGACATAAAACTAATTTGTAAACAAGCTTGGATGTTAGAATCAAAACCAGTATGGGAAAAGCTTGACAAAAAAGAGATAAATATAGAAAATTTGAAATATGAGTTAAGAGATTTTTACATATTAGAAGAAGTGGTCGAGGGTACATCGAGGACCGTTGATGATAATACCAAAACCAAATATGATCAATGGGCAGGATAATGTTTGCAGCCTAAACACAGAATTACAGAATATATCATATAATATAATAA